CCCCAGGTGTAAAGGGGATAAACTAGTCAGGGCTGTAAGGTAAAACCAAGTTGCACACTTGTCAGACAAGGAAACAGAACACAAGAAGGGCAAGGTCACTGCACACAATGAGTATGAGGTGCACAATGTTCCTTTTATGATGACCTAGCACATCAGTCCCTGGCTTCTTGAAGTCAGCTATGGTATAAGGTTAGTAAGGCCAACAAAACTGTAAGCAGCCTTCATTTTCTACAGGATCATGGAGTATCATCCATCTTGTGAAAGGACCCCAGTAAGTTAGAGATGTGTGGTAGCCATCAGGATCAGGGGTATGACACTCTTGCCAGGACTCATGCTCGGGCAGCTTTGGCCTCATCCTCTAGCTCATCTAGGAAACACTCCTGGGTTACTGAGTAGAAGGTGTACCATGAATAGCAAGCACCAGGGCTCCGATGCACAGGACAGACATGATGTTTTGGGCTCATTGCTGTGGCAGCGTCTTCTGCCACTGGGCGAGTTGCACCTGCTGCATGAATTGCAGCTCTACGGGAGTCAATTTCTCCCAAGCTGGGTCAATGGCTAAGCCATTGGGTTCCTTCCACTCTTGGTATCTAGAGGGTCTCCAGAACCGGACACCACCATGTTGCCACTGGGGCCACCTCTGGTTTGTTTTGTCTGCTTTATATTTACTCCCTTTTAGTTAAATTAAGTGATACTGGAATTGTTGTTAAGTGCCAGAGTCAATTCCAACACATAGCAACCCTGCATAGGGTTTCCAAGGAACAACTGGTATGCTTGAAGGACTGACTGTGGTTCAAATGACTTTGCAGTCCAGTGCATAAACCCACAGTGCCACACCATGACTCTGATAATGGAGTACATTATTATTAATAGTTTCTTCATGTTGTACAATGCAAATTTAAAAATTAGAACAAAAATAATCTAACTTTATTTTGGAATTTACCAAAAGAATATTTACAATTTTTATTTTCTTATGATATTACCTAAAATTAGAATTTCTACAGAGACAATTAGCCAGTCTCCCTTGGATACAACTATAGTTGCTTTCTTCTCCAATCAGCTAAAAGATCTACTAAGTAATAGAACATGACAACATGAACTTCCTATGGATACTCCTAGTATTATTATGCATCTTTGAGAAGTTCATAATTGTGATGCACAAATGTTTTTTTTCTATTTATTTTTATATCAATCCTAATTAACTAAATGAATATATTTATTTATTTAGTACTTCCAACATGTTTTGGAAAATTAGGAAGAATGAATAAATAAAATTAATATGAGTGTCAGCTATTCAATCCTCATCCAAAATATAATATCTAAACCAAATAAAAGTGCAGTGGTTAAGTGGTGCTATAGGGTAAATACTGAACTACAAGGTGGGTGGTTCGAACTCACCAGTTGCTCCTTGGAAACCCTATATCAGAGGGAGAGAGAGAGACAGAAAGTGCCCTAGTGGCTTAGTGAGCTATGTACCATAAATTCAGCAGTTCAAATTCACCAGCTCTGTGTGGAAAAAAGAAGAGACTCTGTGTTCCTATAAAAATACACAGACTCAGAACTTCTTCATATAACCTAGTTCTATATAATCCATCTTTCTTCCTAGTCCATTTTAATCTGTAAGAACTGCTGACACCTGTCCACCATGGATTATCATGCTGGCATGTAAAATACTGGTGGCATAGCTTCCAAAATAACAGCATAACAGCAATACCCAAACAATAATATATATACATACATATATGTGTGTGCGGCATTGTTGTTAATTGCTGTCAAGTTGGTCCTGACTCACAGCAATTCTGTATGGGGTTTACTAGGGTTTCCACCAACCTTGTAGTTCAAACCCACCTGTAGTCAAGTGCTTGCCCTACAATACCACACCAACTCAGCAACAGTAACATCCTGAAATTTCTTAGGAGGCCTTGTAGGCAAGAAGCCAATAAAAGAATTACTCATTAAAGTATTACTCATATTTTGCTATGGGTTTTCTGTTTTTGTGGTGATTATAGACTTTAGTGTCCTGTTCTTTTTATTTATTTATTTTTTGCCCTCCCCCCTTTATTTATTTATTTTTTTGCGGGGGGGGGGGCTCTTTCTCTCTCTACGATATCCAAGAAGAGACAGCAAATGTGGTCATATAGCCAAGCTACAGTTGCACCCTATAAAACCCCACCATCTGGGCAAGAGTCAATACCAGCTGCTATATACCAGATAGTTAACACTTGCTAAAATTATTTTGAGTTGAGTAACAAGAAAAGTGAAAAGGAAAACTCATTTCCTGATAACATCAACCAAGAGACAATCAAAAATAATAATAATACACCAACATATATTCATCTCATTACTGAAAATACATCTAATTATTGAAAACGCCCAAAAAAGCAAAAGTTCTCAGCTCATGTCCAGAAACAAGACAGAGCAGCTGAAACAAATGAGCTGGAGTAGGCCTAAACTTCCCATTGGAAGTTTCTCATCAGAAACCATGCAGGCAAGAAGGCAATGGGTAGTGGTTACAACTCGTTTTGACCTTGTATAGAGTTTCCAGGGAGCAGATGGTGACTTTGAACCACTGATACTCTGGTTAGCAGTCCAGTACCATAGCACCTAGAGCACCGTACCAGTACTATCTCTCTCATTATATATAGCTAGCTAGCTACATGTATATATGTGTACATACATATAGTTGTTTTTAAGTGCCCTCAAGTAGGTTCTGACCCATAGCAACCCAATATGTGATTTCCAAATAGCAGCTCGTAAGTTTGAACTCCCAACCTTGTCATTCAAACTGACCTTTCAGTCTTGCACTTAACCCTACAGCATCACTATCTGTCTATATTTACAGATATAGGTAAAGATATATAAACATTGATGTTGATGTTAAGTGTTGTCCAGTCGGCTCAGACTCATAGTGATTCCATGAATGAAATAGAATGAAACACTACTTAGTCCTGCACCGTCCACATCATTTTTATTTGAGGCAATGATTGCAGCCACTGTGTCAATCTATCTTGTTGGGGGCTCTTCCTCTTTTTCACTGATCCTCTTCTTTATCAAGCATAATGTCCTTTTCCAGGATCTGGTCCCTTGTTTATAACATGTCCAAAATAAGTGAGACAAAGTCTTCCCATCCTTACTTCTAAGGAATAATTTGATGTAATTTTCCAAAACAGATTTGTTGGTTCTTCAAGAAGTTAATGGTACTTTCAATATTCTTTGCCAACACCATAATTCAAATGCATCAATTCATCTACGGTTTCCCTTATTCTTTGTACAACTTTCACATGCATATGAAGCGATTGAAAAGACTATGGCTTGGATCAGTCCTCAAAGTAACATCTTTGCTCCTGAACATTTAAGAGTTCTTTTCCAGCAGATTTTCCCAATACAGTATGTCATTTAATTTCTTGAGCGCTGCTTTCATGAGCATTGATTGTGAATCCAGATATACATAAATGCACACACATATATATATATATACAAAGGATAGATGTATGCAAGGGAGCATCAAACACTGGAAAAACATAATGAACACATGATGAAATTTTACCATGAACTTTCAAAGCCTCACATAAATATTTCAAAGTTTTAATAAACTATATATCTGCTATTTGGGATTTGATTTAAAATTAACTGAATCTGTGCATGTGTGTCTGTATCTTTTAGTGTTTCTCTTTCTGTTGATTAGCAGGGTTGACTCAGTGTTTGGGAGACTGCTGTTGTTGTTGTTGTTATGTGCCATGGAGTCAGTTATGACTCATAGCGACCCTGTACAGGGTTTCTGAGGCTGTAAATCTTTACAGGAGCAGAACGCCTCATCTTTCTCCCGCAGAACAGCTGGTAGTTTCGAACTGCTGACCCTGAGGTTAGCAGCCCAATTCATAACCACTATGCTACCAGAGCGCCTTTGGGAGGCTAGATGCGATTATTTAACAATTAAATTATTGCTGTTAAGTGCCTTCCAGTGGATTCTGAACCATATCTACACTGTGTAGGGTTTCCGAGGCTTTTTGTTTTTCCTTAAATTATGACGGGAGCAGAAAGCTTTCTCTTTCTCCCATGGAGTGGCTGGCAGGCTTAAACCACGGACTTTGTGGCTCTCAGTACCGTTCTTATCATATGGAGACACTGTGCTCCCCAATAAGAAAACAAAGACAACAAAATTATGTGCAGTGAGGCTGTGTTTCAAATTGTAATTCAGTGAAATCAAATGAAAAATGTTCTAGCTAAGAAGTGTTCGAATCCTATTTCTGCTCGTTATCTAACCTTGTGGAAGGAAGTGTCCTACTCTGTTTGGGTTTAAATACACTCTTATGCAAAATTTCTGGGTTTAGAGTAATTGTCTCTTGACATTCTTTGCAGCTCTGAAAGTCCGTGAATCTCTGATACTCTTGAATTATGCATGTATTTTTCAAAGTAATATTGAAATGAATGTCTTAATTTAACCCTGATTAGGGAGGCTCATCTCCATGACGTATTTGTCTAAGTTTGGGGTGTACATGGTTATACAACTAAAGAATGCCAGATGATTGTTCCAATTGTAAAGTCATAATCTCTATGTTATTAACACAATGTGGTATTTCAGAAAAGGGACAAAAAATTCTCATCAACTATGTTTATTTCCATGTGTGTTCACAGGAAGTCCAGCACAATTGCCAACTTCATAGAATATCATTTTGTGCAGATGATAAAACTGACAAGAGGATATTCACTTTCATATGCAAAGATTCTGAGTCAAATAAACATTTGTGCTATGTATTTGACAGCGAAAAGTGTGTAAGTATGCCAGATGTTTTAGGGTGGTTTATTCTGTTTTACAAGCCAGGAATTGTCTTGTTTCCGGCATTAGTAAAAGTATTTGGAAATGAATAAGGTCTGCAAGTACTTAACTGGACTAATAGATTCAGCCTGTCATGAGAACATACTTCAGGATTTCATCCTTAACTAAATTCTCTTGTCCATATGCATAACCTCACATGCAAATTTATTTTCTTAGAGTGTCAAGCTGGCTTAGTTTCACAATAATTTCTCTTATGATCATTTCATTTATCTGTAATTTTAATCTCAGATTATTTATTAATATACACAAAATACAAACAGCAATAATTGTGAATAAAAATTTTTGTTGTTTATTTTTTAAATGTGATGGGTTTGATGAGAATATTTTAAGCACCAAGAAACAAAATCTATATAACATATTGAAAAAATATATCCAATACTTAGAAATTTGGTTATTGATTTTTTTATGCAGAAAACTTAATAAAATTGTGTGTGTTTGCTTGCTTGTTAATATAATCTAATATTCTTAGCAAATAATAACAATTAGGAAATCTCTAAGTTAAGTTCTCTAGTAGTTCTTTAATTATCTAGAATTTTAAGGGAAGTCCTGTTTTGATTACAGAATAAAACTAATGATCATCGTGATTTAGTCTGACTTCCTGTTATAAACCATGAGATGTGAATTCCTTTGATGGCTTTAATGAAGGAAAAACATCTATTCTCAACAACCTTATTGACTTAGATTAAAATAGAACTTGATTAATTAATGTGGTATATTTTTTTCTTATTGCAAATAATAGCAGAGGACTATTATTACCATGTGGAGTCTTGGTATGGAGTTGTAGGATAAGCAGTTGACCACAAGGTCAGTTTTAACTGTAAAGTTGCCTATTCAAACTCACCAGCCGCTTCTTGGAAACACTATACAGGGTTGGTGTGAGTCGGAGCCGACTCAACGGCACTTAACCCCAACACCATTATTGTTATATGAGCCCTGTTATGGCACTGTATGACAAGAACTGTACTAGTAACCAAAAGATCGACAGTTCAAACCCACCAGCTACTCTTAGGCACACAACAATATTGTTGTTATATATCTTGGATGGCACAAGTGATTAAGTATTCAAACACCCACTAAAAGGTTAGTGGCTTTTTTTTCCAACTAGAGATACCTTGGAAGACAGACCTGGTGATCTGGTTCCGAAAATCATTTCATTGAAAACTCAACGGAATAATTCTACTCTGGACACATGGGGTCTCCATGAGTCAAAATGGACTCAACAGCAACTAGCAACACCATTATTTCATTTATTTCTTGGGTTTCAGTGTGTGACCTCCTTGAGAAAAGGACCGTTTGTCCATAGAATTCTAAAATTGTGTGGACAATTGTTTTTAAGTGTTATTACGTCAGTTCGAACTCATAGTGACCAAGTATAGGATTTTCAAGGAGCAGCTGGTAGCTTTAAACTGCTGACTTTGTAGTTCACACTCCAGTGCTGATCCTACAATGGAGCCCTGGTGTGGCACTGCAGGATAACACACTGGACTGCAAGGTTGGTTTGAACCACAGGGTCGATGGTTAAAACTCACCAGCTGCTCCTTGGAAGCCTTATAGATGTTCAATCAATTGTTTGCTTAAGGAAAAGCTCATTTGGACCAAGTTACAAAGTTAGGGAATTTCATCATCTATATCTTTTATACTCTTGCTGCTGTTAGGCACCATCAAGTCAATTTCAACTCATAGTAAGCCTGTGTATAATGAAACACTGCCCAGTCCCGTGCCAGAACTATTGTTATATTTGTTATATTTGAATCCATTGTTATATTATTATTATATTTGTTATATTTGAATCCATTGTTGCTGCCACTGTGTCATTCTATCTCATTGAGGGACTTCCTCTTTTTTGCCAACTTTCCACTTTACAAGCATGATGTCCCTCTCCATGTACTGGTCCCTCTTGACAGCATGTCTAAAGTCTGAGAGACAAAGTCTTGCTATCCTGTCTTCTAAGAGACATTCTGGCTATACTTTTTCCAAGACAGATTTGTTTGTTCTTCTGGCAGTCCATGGTACTTTCAATATTCTTCTCCAACACCATAATTCAAATGCATCCATTCTTCTTTGGTGTTCCTTATTCATTGTCTAGCTGTCACATACATATTGTTGTTGTTGTTAAGTGCCGAGTAGATTCCAACCCATAGCGACCCTGTATAGGGTTTCTGAGGAGCAGCTGGTGAGCTTGAACCGCCGACCTTGCAGTTCAAATGGCTTTGCAGTCTGGCGCATTAACCTGCAGCGCCACACCAAGACATACATATTAGCCTACGGAAAATTCCAGAGCTTGGGTCAGGCTCACCTTAGTCCTCAGATTTGCCTAATGCAGTACGTTGTTTGATGAGTGTGTGACAGTGGGTCCAAGCAAAACAGTCTTTGACAACTTCAATCTTTTCTACATTTATCTTGTTGGTTCCAGTTGTGAGGATTGTTGTTTTTGGTTTTGGGGTTTTTTACATCGAGGTGTAAACCACACTGAAGCCTGATCTTCATTAGTAAATATTTCAAGTCCTTGTCACTTCCAGCAAGTAAGGTCATGTCATCTGTATATCACAGGTTGCTAATGAATATTCCTCCAATCTTGATGTCATGTTCTCCTGTATAGAATCTCACTTTTTGGTTTGAATAAGTATGGTAAAAGGATGCTGTCCTGGCACACACTCAACCTGATTATAAATCATTTTTCTGCTTAACTAGGCTGCTGTTGTTGTTAGCTACCATAGATTCCTGACTTATGGCTGCTTTATGCACAATGGAACATAATGTTACCCAGCATTGGTTGCAAATCAAACCATTATAATGTATAGGGTATTCATGGGCTTATTTTTTTACATAGCTCAATAGCCTTTTCTTCCTAGCGATCTTACTCTGGAAGCTGTCCTACAATCTCTTAAACATTATAGCAATATGCAAGTTCTATTGACAGATTGGCAGTGGTTGTACATGAAGTACATTGGTTGGGAATCAAGCACAGGTCTCCCATATGGAAGGTGACAAATCTATCACTGAACCACCTATCCTATCTTTTAAACTTTTGTTGTTGTTAAACACAATCTAGTCGATTCCGACTACAAGAGAGTTAGGGCTTCCAAGGCTGTACATCTTTGCAGGAGTAGAATGCCTCATCTTTCTCCCATGGAGTGACTGGTAGACTTGAACTACCAACCTTTCGGTTCACAATCCACTGGTTATCCTACAGACTCCCCTTTTAAACTATGTTGTTAGTGACTTTGAGATGGTTCCAATTCACAACGACTCCATGCACAATGGAATGAAACACTGCTCGGTTCTGCACCGTCCATTCGAATGTTATTACACTTGAGCCCATTGCTGATGCCACTGTGAAAATTCATCTAACTGGGGGTCTTCCATCTTTATGTTGACTCTCTACACTACCAAGTGTGATGTCCTTTTCCAGGGATTCTTTCTTCCTGATTACATGTCCAATGAGAGACAAAGTCTCGCATTCCTAGCTTCTAAGGAACATCCTTGCTGTACTTCTTCCAACACAGACTTGTTTGTTTTCTGGTAGTCCATGGTACTTTTGGAGCCCTGTATGGTACTGTAGAATAAGCACTCGACCACAAGGTCCTTTTGAACTGTAAAGTCGGCAGTTCAAATTTGCCAGCCACCCGTACATAGGGTCACTATGGGTAGGAACCGACTTGACACAGCACTTAGCTTAACAATGGTACTTTTAATATTCTTCTTAAACACCGAAACTCAAATGCATCAATACTTCTAATGTCTTCCTTAACTATTGTCCAACTTTCACATGCATATGAGGCTATTGAAAATATCATGGCTTGATCAGGTACATCTTAGTCCTCTAACTGTAGGACAACAGGGTAGGTGAAATACTCAGGTAATATTATTTTACAATGCCCATTATTATAACTGCTTTATGGTAAAATGAGAATCCTGAACTAACTGTGTACATTTTAGAACCTCCAAGGGCTGTAAAAGCTGTTTAGATAAACCTTCTATAACTTAGTGGAAGTCTGTGCCTTGCATGGGTAGGCCTGGAGGAGGCTAATGTAGGCATGTACACTTTTAAGGCATACTTAAAGATTCCTGCCACTGCATGAGAGGCCCAATGAACACTATCTGCCAATTTTGTGTGGCTTTTCTCCTCCGTGAAGAGGTAGGTTAGATTACCCCACAGTTCTGGGGACATCCACTCTTATAGGTGGTTTTGGTGATTTGGTTAGTTTGTAGGCTTTGGCATTGTATTGTGCCTCCTCTGTGTCTTGTGTTGTGCAGGCCAAGGTGTGGTATGCTAACAACTTTTGCCCACATCTCTTCACTCCAAACGTTCTAAATTTGTATTTTCCAGCCTTGACTTTGCCAGAGTTCTGACCAAGCAGCTAGCCATTTAGTCATTGACCAAGAGTTGGTAAAGACTGGAAAATAATTTTCTAGGACAGACACTATTATTAGCAGTTGCATGCAATTTAGTTCACTGAATACTTTGGTCTATCCCTTTATGGACATTGGCATATATGAACAGGGCTTTCCGTTGTCTGTTTCCCTTATTTGCTGTGTTTCCCCATCAATAAAGAAAGACTATTGTTTCTTTCTGTTTTGAAAGTGCTGGCCAGCCTCCCTCAGATTCCTGTTGTACCAGGGGTGGGATCATTTCAGAAAGGGGCTTGGTAAACTCAGCAGTATAGAACATGGCTATTTCTTCATGCAGTTGTGATACTTTGGTAGGGTCATGTATATCTCAATCCTGCAAATACAATTTTCATTTATTAAGAAGACCTGTGTTGATTTTGTATTTAGCAAGGCCTTTCTTTGCTATTTCAAGGCATAATTGGAATCTTGGTTCAATGGGTAATCAGCTCTGTTCCAATAAGGGCTTCAGTTTCAGTAAGTCCCCAGAATGCCTCTAGGTATTGTCGCTCCAGTGATAGAAATCTTTGGACTGACTTTGTAAGCA